CTTAATGTCAGTCACTATTAGTGCCACCCTTTCTTTGACATATGAGTATGCGCAGATCACTTACATTCTAAAACTTAATTTAATAAAGATTGTGCCTATCTTAGGGCATATAAGACTAAAAATTATCATTCAATGTATTAAGTATAAGCGGGGTCATCAAATAAAATGTGAACTATGAAATATTGTAAGGATAGAACTTAAAATTGAAATAACACAAAATAAACTTTATTAAAATTAATTAAAGATTGACTGGCCAGTTGGTTTTGAAACCAGTGCCTAACAGAAATACATACACACACTTTTGGCGTGAGGGAAGAGGGGCAGATAATCCATTCTCAATGGCGTACGGTTTAAAAGGATTCGTATTTATGTTTACCATTTATGCACTGTAATTTCACAATAAATAAAATTTAGATAATTGATTCGCAAGAATAATAAACAAATTTATTAAAGAATGTTCTTTATCTGTTTATGTTAAGCTTTTGTTATATACTGTATTGTATATATGTTTTACTGAAAATGACTATATGTTCGTTTAGGAATGAAAACTTTTTTTTATTGTAGATAGAGGTTTTGAAACTATATGCTTTCAAATGGATTTGTGGTCACATATTATTTTCGTTTAGTTTCAAGTAGATCATTTAGAAACTGAAATCTTTTTTACATAGAGTAAATAAAAGAAAAGTAAAAACAAATAATAATTTATTTCTAGTAGTAATAAAATTAAATGTACATGTTTTATAATAAATCTATTAATCAATGAAATCAAAACATAGTTATTGGTTGTGCCTAGATATAATATATGTGTGTAGAAGTAAGCTATTTATAAAACAAAACAAAAATAAAATAAACATTAATACTACCGAATTCTAATAAAATTTATTTATAATATATTTGATTAGGTCACCACTTAACAGTTAAAAACCAATTAACTATAGAAAATACAAAATACAAAAAAATACATTTTATTCTTTACTCCCCATTTCGGTAGCTCTTCGGCAAACTCGCGGATATCAATGCGGCACACCTGGGAATCGCACACACAAGGTTACACATCTGTTTTACATGGACGACCTTAAGGTCTATGCTATGAGCTACCGGGATTTAAAACAATCTCTGAAAGTGGTGCAAGAATACACACGGGATATCGGTATGAAATTTGGATTGGACAAATGCGCCGTTCTGAGACTTCAGAAAGGCTGTTGCGTAGACCAGCCTGAGAACGAGCAACTTACTGACGGGAGCAAACTTCGTCATTTGGATGATGACGAAACTTACAAGTATCTTGGTGTTGATCAACACCGAATGCATGACACTAACAACGTCAAAAAAACGCTCCATAGTAAGTATAGGTAGCGTCTCCAGAAAATATGGAAATCCCAGCTTTCCGGAATCAACAAAGTTGCTGCCACTAATATGCTTGCCGTTCCTGTGCTCTTGTATCCATTTGGCGTGCTCAAGTGGAGGCGAGATGAACTACGGGAACTAGATGTAAGCACATGCAAGATGATGTATATGAACAAAAGCATCTACCCACGCTCACCGGTCTCTCGCAGTTACCTTCCACGTCATCAAGGGGGCAGAGGTCTTCTGAGTCTGGAGAGGTTGCATGATAGATTAACTGTGAGTTTAGCTTGCAAGGTAGCCAATAGTGAGGACCCACTACTGCAGCTGGTTCGAGATCATAAAACAACTGGTATCGGGGCTTTTCTTTTTACGGTTGCAGGTGGATGAACTAGGTCTCAGATTTGAAATAGATGACAACCAATCTCTTACAAGGTTGAACCCGCTTAAGTAAAACGTCTAGTAAGGGCAGCAGAGCAACATCTACTCTTGGAAGATCACGGCAGCAAACCCCAACACGGTGTTTTTTACAGGAACATAGAAGATCTTAATCTATCTTTTGGGTTTGGTGATTTTAAATTAATAAAATTTAAGTGCTTATAAATACCCTATTTTTACAATTTCTAGTTCTGGGTAAAATACTTTACCGATTTTTTGAGATGCAGAAGCTATAATTTTTATAGATTATCTCAAAAAAACAATAACTCCTAACTATTACGCCAACTTACGTTAAACTAAAATAATTAACAAGAAACGTCCCGGTTTGGCCAAAAAGAAAATTCTGTTCTACCAGAACAATGCACCTTTTCATAAATTGCTAATAATTGCTATTGCAAAAATTCATCAGTTAGACATTATGCTGGTGTCTCATGCTTCTTATTTACCAGATTTAGCTCCTTCGTATTTCTATTTGTTTCCGAATTTGAAAAAAATTCTTACTGGTAAAAAATTGCTGCCACAAATGCCTATTTTAAGGAATTGCACAAATCAGCCTACAGCGATGGCATAAAAGCTTTTCAGAACCGATAGAATTAATATATTGAGCTACACGCTATGTAGAAAACAGTTTTTTTCTACGAACTCTTACAAAAAGACATCTTTCGCCACAGGATACTTTCAGCGAAAACTTGATTTCCGTCACTAGTGAGAAAAAATCCCATAACGTTTACTTTCGTCTCTAGTGACGAAAGTAAGTTGTTACATATTTTCATATATCAGTCGCCTCGTATAATATTTTGGCATCTTATAATTATTAATAATGAAATAAAAAGATGCTCATTAAATTCTATATATGCGTATTTACCTAAACTTTAATGAATTAAAGATAAAATAAAAATGTATAAAAATAGTGCAAATTATACCAATCTACATCTAGTTTCCTGGTTTTCATTTGTTTATTTGAAGTTTTATCACTTTTGAGAACTGTCAGTTTCAGTTCGTCCTAAATTTAACACATTTTCATGATGTCTGAGTCAGAAAGCGATTGTACTCCCCCAGAAATTATTTTTAAAGCTGAAGAAACCTCTTCAGATTTATTACCGGCCAAATCAAAAAAGAGATATGAAGAAATTTAACTCAAATTTTTGGACTGGAGAGAAAAAAATAAAGTGAAATCATTTTCGGAAACTGTACTACTAGCTTACTTTGGAGAAATATGTTCAAATTTTAAACCGTCGACGTTATGGTCCATTTATTCGATGCTAAGAACTACACTCTCTGTTAAAAATGATGTCGATATTAGTAAATATCCAAAGTTACGTTCGCTTTTGAAAAGAAAATCTGATGGTTTTAAAAGCCAAAAATCCAAAATTTTTTCGCCTGAAGACATAAAGACTTTCCTAAAGAATGCACCTGACTATAAATATTTAATAACAAAGGTAACGGAATTATTATTTTTATTTTAACAAATACTTAATACATAACTACTAATATTTGTAGGTAGCATTAGTTTTTGGATTATCTGGCGCTTGTCGTTGCCACGAACTAAAAGATTTAACAATAAGCGATGTAAAGGATACTGGAAGTATTCTGTTAGTTAAAATCCGTAATACAAAAACAAAAGTTCCGCGTTCTTTTCATATTTCTGGACCCTTTTATGATATTTATAAAAAATATATGAGCCTACATCCCGCAAACATGGATCAAATTAATTCAAGATTCTTTATTAACTATCAGAATGGAAAGTGTAGCAGACAGGTTGTTGGAATTAATAAAATCAGTAAATTTACTAACGAAATTGCTCAGTTTTTAACGCTTCCGAATCCTCAAGATTACACTGGGCACTGTTTCCGCAGAACATCCGCAACGCTATTAGTGGATGCAGGAGGTGACTTGCTTCTGTTAAAAAAGCACGGTGGTTGGAAATCTAGTAGTGTTGCGGAAGGATATGTTGATGAATCCACGAACAGTAAAAACCAAATACAAACCAAAATTTTACAATCTGTACAAAATAAGGAAACTACTAGTTCATCCGATTATGGCGCATCATCATCTGAAATGACATTTAACAGTAGAACAAATATGTCGGCATCTACCTTAATAAATAAAAAGCTTGAGTGTGATAACCCCATAATTTTGAACAATTGTTCAAATATAACAATAAATCAATATTTAAATAATAAATAATATTTCTGATATATTTAATTGTTGGTTAATTTTTTGTTATTCCTAACACAAAATAAAGCATTTGCTAACGTTTGTTTTTTTTTTCATTTTAGTAGGTACCTACATGACATAATAGAGTTCGTAGAAAAAGTATAGTGTTTTACTCGTCGAAAATCATTTTTCGTCACTCGTGAAACAATTTACTATTTTCTACACCCACATGGATATTAGCTTATCTACGCACATATTACAAAACGAAAAATTATGCTATTGCCTTCAACTGAACGAATATATTTCATATCCATTCTAGGCAGTAAAAAAAAAAAAATAAATCCACCAATCACCCTCATATTTTGATCAACCGACTGCTATTATTTTTAAAATTTTAAATAAGTGACAATTCTGTCAAACTAATTATCAGTATATTTTTTAGTTATTGAGATTAAACGTACATTAAAATGGGTCATTCTTGTGTAGAATCGATAGATAACAGCATTTCTGTTTTTATTTCGTCTATAATTATAAATAATTTGTTAATTTAAATAAAACTGTATGAAGTCAATTTAATTATGGAACAAAAATAAAAAAAATAGCTGGTCCTGTGATTAGTGTTCTTGCCTTTCAAACGGAAGAGTCGAGTTCGATTCTCGGATGGGGAAAAATAAAAAGAACTTTTTTTTTATTCGTTTATTTTATTTTAAAAATTATTAAAAGTCATAAATTATTTTAAAATTAGTTATTTTGTCTTAATAACCTAAAATATATTTTTTATTTGTAAATTTTCGTTAGTGGGTCGTAGAAAATATATACTGTACAACTCGAGTGGATTGTCCACATCGCACTCAGGATATGGCCATCATATCCACTCTTGTTGCACAAACTACTATTTATCCATTGTTTGCTTTTTTTTAGCTTGGACTGGAAGTTTTTCATTTCATCCTTTTCTTCAATGCCTATAAATGTCTAATATTTATAACTTTTATTCTCCTGTATTGTATTGTATTCTTGAGCCATACTCAAGATTTATATGAACGAAAGTTATTATTTTCTAGTTACGTCGTACTCGGACAATATAACTCTCAATATGAGTGAATCCTTTATGAAGAAAACGTATGAATCCTGCAAGGATGTTTCTCTGCCATCAACAGGAGGAACCGTAATGGAAAATGCTTGCGGAAGTTACGGAGCTGTGTGGTGTAATCCATTAAGGTAGATGTTTACATTTATTTTAATCCTAATAATAATGTTTAAGGTCTATTTACACACATCAGTGCTAATAAGTGTCAGTGAAAAATAAAATATTGTTGCCTTAGTCTTAAGTCGACTTGTTCAGACAAGTCCGGCACAGTGACATTTTTTACTATCAGTGCTGCTTCAGTGTCCGTTTCGTAATCTTTATTTAAGTCGGCTACGATAGTTTTGTGTATTTTACTGACAAACTGACGAAAACTCGATGAATTTGTGTATAAATATGAATGAAAAACTAATCGAGTTGTGCTATTTATAAGTAATATATTAAAACAATTTTGAGACATTCTAAAATATTTTAAAAAATTTGTTTTATCCACCACCAATTCGTTATATAGAGTAATGAATTTTCCTTCACTTTCTCGTTTCATCTAAGCTTTATTTACCTATTTTCGTTTATTTGATTTTCTTCATCTTCCTCGTGTAGAGCTATGGCAATAATTCCTAATTCATCATCAGTAAAACAAGTCGTCTTGCACGAATTTCACTGAATGTACAGGACCCAGTACAGACACTGATACGGCACTGATGTGTGTAAATAGACCTTTAGGCGACTAAATTATTTAAATTAACAAGAAAATATTATTACTCTCGAACATTTGATGCTGAAATTAAAACGCGGTCCATATAAGCCAAACAAACGTAAGTGAGAGTGAATAGGAAGTCGCATATACCGTGCGCTTCTCAGTTGTCTTTATTTTTTTTACCTTGTCCTATAGAGGGTCCAAGTTCAGATTTCCATAACTGTATACTTGCTAAGGCGATGTTTGTCTATTCTAATGTAAACTAGATATATTTCAAATATTACCAAATATTAAAAGAATGTTGTACTTTCAGGTGGTTTAGCTTTCTGAGCAATCCTGATCAAAATCCTCTTGCTCCCTTTTTAATCATTCCTTCGCCAGTTAATGACAGTACAGTAGGTGCTCTGAATTATGAAGTGTTGCCGTGTGACCAAGCTTGGGTACGTATAACTTTAGTTCTGTTTTGTTTACTCATACACTAAAAAATACATTATGTCCCAGAATATATGAGCAAACTCTTTTGAACAGTTTTTATTAGATCACTACTAGACTCTGCATGTGGCGCTCATGTGACAGAAGAATTAAGCGGGGTCTTACTAGAATACTGTACAATTACCTGCGTGCATAATATGAGCATTTCAGTTCTTTTAAAACACTTTGAATTCCGGATAATAAAACTTAGATAATAAAACTGATAGTGCTCATTCAATTTTAAATTTTGGTGTCAATCGTGTATTCGTTTTTCAAAAATTGTGTTTTTCATTTAATTTTTTGATTTAGTATGTTAGATAGATATGACCTTAGAAACATACATGCTTTGAAACTAAAATTAAACTTGCTTAATTACCTTTTCAAAGTTGTATTACATATTGCAATTATGTGTTTTATATAGAGTTATTTCTGAAATGAGAGTGGTCTAAAATTATTTTCATCTATCCTTATAAAAATTGTTTAGATCTCTTAATATTATTTAACTACATGGAAACTAAACTCTCAAAATACATAATAACGTGTCTTGAAGTAAGTAATTATTTTCTTTTTCTAAAGATTAAAACGCTGAAATTTTATTTTAAAACACATTTGGGCTAGAACGGCTCTATTTAGTGGGCACTAGGAAAGGCAATAAAGCAGTGCACATTGCAATCCGCTTTTCGTAATCTTTTTTATAGATGGGTGAGCAATCTATATAATTATGTAGGTATATCATTGGGTGTCCCATAAACTCAGGTGCAGACACATACTTTGATTACTATACTAGGCAAGAGAGAGGTCCGACACGCCCAACATAGAGCGCGGCCATTTTGAACCCTGTGACACAGTTTACAGCTAAAGAATCAGATCGCTCACTCTGCGTCGGCACTTTGGATCTCAATGTTTCAGTTTATACACTGTGCAACTCGGATAATACAATATATGACAACCGCCTATAATAAAACAGCAGTCTTCTGCGCATCCTGAATTTGTATCCCTGGAGTGGATGTTATTTTGGAACTTTCAACTGGTCCGAGTGAGCTAACTGATTCTTTAGCAATAAACTGTGACTTCAAAAATAATATTCACTGACACTGACAGCAGCAAGCAAAATATCAGGTGCGTTTTAATCATCCGCTTCTGCTTCCGGAATTGTCGGTTTAGTCGTTTTAACCTGTCAGATTAAAACAAGAAAACTGACAATTCCGAAGCAGAAGCGGATGATTAAAACGCACCTATTAAAAATATTGCGCCAAGATGTAGGCAACACGTAATAAGGGTTCAAAATGGCGGAGTTTTCTATCTCCTTTTAAAAGGCACTCAGAAAGCTGCGCAGTGCGACCATTCTCCGTATAGTAAAAGAGAATCAAAGTATGTGGGTGCAGAGATTAGAGACATAAAGATTGGAAACGCAACGACCGCAGCAACGATGGCGTCATCTAGCGTCTCAGATGTTAACTACAGGTCTACGTCGTTTGTAGAGAGACCAGTATTGCCAAATATTTTTTTTGAGAGATCGTACAAGTATAGTGGAAAAATGGTATTTTGACAAAAAAATGTACAATAGATACATGCATAGCATAATATAACTTAAATGGAATGACAAAAAAAAAACTTTGGCATGATAATTTATTTATCTAGTTATAAAAATGTTTACAACGAAAAAAAAAAAACTAAAGAGAATACATGAAACTTTAAATTAACACATTTAAAGTAATCAATGACTGTCACTTGAAAGTGATTAAAATTTTGCATGCAAGCTTTTGTTGTGCCGTGATAGTCGGTGTACAAAATCACCTTGATCAAAATCACGATAAGAACGAAAATGACTGCCTGCAGAAATTACGAATGGCATATGAATCTTTGTAAGTAGTTTTTGAGTTTTATTGTATTATGTTCTGAAGTTGTTGCAGATATTTAAATATTTTTACGTACGATCAAGGTCTGTGGTACGATCTCACCATTGATCTGGCAACCTAGGGATACGACATGCGTAAGCGAAAAGTGGGACCGGTCCGCCATTACTGTGAGTGCAAATTGTCAAATTTTACAGGTTATATTTTTAGTGTCATTTGTGTAATTAAATTTGAATTTAATTTGTGTTTGAGCAAATTTTGAGTGTTACAAACTTATAAAGTATATAATGCCTTGTTGTGTTATACGTTCCTGCTCTAGCGATAGACGTTTTTGTGAAAAATCGACTGGAATAACGTTTCATAGGTTAGTATCAAAATTATAAATATTATACAGGACAGTATTATGACAAGTTTGTATAAAATGTGTAAAAGTATGCTTTTAAAAATGCAAAAAAAATCATCTATCAACTTTTGGGCCTACCTATATTGGAATAATACTTTTTCATACGAAATAATATTTATAGATTTCCAAAAAATCCTATAAAACGTAGCGCGTGGATACAGTTTGTCAACAAGTATAATTGGTAACCTTCTAAATTCAGCAGTATATGTTTCAAGCATTTTCTTGAGAAGTACATTAATCGTACGCCATTTCGTTTATCAAATTTAATTTATAGGCATTTTATATTCTTATTTCTATTTAAATATAACCTACATTTGCTGTCCATCCACCAATTTTATTTATTAGTTTTATAGCTAATTGAAAAGTAGAGCTTCATGTTTTGTGTATGCATGAGTATTGTTTGTTTTATTATAGTTCATTTAAAACAATATTAATATACCTTTTTAATTACCTATAATTTATTTCAGATTAGTGCGTTTAAAGGAATTGGTGAAAATGAAGCGAATCGCCAGCTTTGGGGGTGTGCCAGTAAAAGTGACATCGAAGTTATTCAACGTTTCCAGAATAAAGTATTAAGGAACATCGTCGATGCACCCTGGTACTGCCACAATACTGATCTTCATAGGTGTCAATGTCAAAAACCTACTAACTATTGCTGCGTTAGAATATCCACATCTGATGCATTTTTTAGGTCTTATGCATTTGTTTATTTACATTGGACACATCTACTACATCTGCGTTTGTTTATTTGAGCTGTAGCTGTCCAGATTACATTTTTTACATCTCTAAAATGATCAGTAACATATACAGGATGTAGCAAGACATACTATACAAACTTAAATATCACATTTTCAAAACTTTTGGTTGTTTATCAACAATAATTATAAACGTCAGTTGGCTACTCAGTACTACACTTGTCAACTACTTTTCCTTTTTATGATAAATTTAAATTTGCAACACGCCTTTGCTGTTTTTGAATTAATAATATGCCAACATAGTGTACCTTTAATGATTTTGTCATGAATATTTGCGAGCTGCTTGTATGGAGTATCAGTGACGATTTCCATACCAAGGCATCAAACATTCAGTGCTGTGTTTTGACATATTCAAACACATGGCATACTATGTTAATACATCTTTTGATATTTAAACTCTTTTAGCTTGGTAACTATGTAGAATTGGATATTCGTTCATAGGACATTTTTTATTGCTTGAAATGAATTCAGGAATATATTTAAGTTTGTACAGTGCACATTATGAACATACTGTATATAAATTCTTATAATAATAAATATTTAACATCAATACTCACTTAGTCTTTTTTAATGAGACTAGCAACAAAATCATAACCGTTTGTTTAGTATTAAAAATAAATATCACACATAGATATGGATAAGAAAATATTAAAACTTTATTCTTTGTACACTTTTATTTAATCACAGCACACATTATTTGCACAACGGTGTTTTACTTGTTTTACAGTAAGATATATACTTATCTTTAATGTTCAAGTTTTTAGAATTTGAACTTGGATTAGGCCATTTTCGTCAATTTTGTTCTTAGAACTTTTGAAAAAACACTTGGGAAGTACTCTCACAAATGTATTTCTTATTTTGCCTAGCGAAGAAATTGTGTATTAGGAAATATTCTGGTTTTTATCTTAGTGGTTAAGAAAAGCACTTACAGTGGATACTTTTCCTAACTCGTCAAAGATTTATTACCTAAATGTTGGCCTCCCTTTATCACCAGCCAACAATTTCAACTCTTTTACTGTTAACTTTAACTTCATCTGTGACTTTAACTATGATTGAGACTTCAACTTTATCTTCACATTCTTGTCTGACTTTCAATCATACATGCATGATTATTGTGCATAGACCAATTAAATTGGACCGGTACACTTGTGGTGCATGTGTGTTACTACGGTAGACCTTTACATAAGTATATAGTCATAATCTCTGCAGATGGTGAGAAGCCCAGATCAAACCAACCACCATAATATCGTCATTGGATCTATACCTAAAATTTTATTTTATATAAAAATGTCATTTTAAACTTCGTTAAACCCAATGGTGGAATCGGCCCCAAGTTAGTTATGTCATGGTCATTGATTAGTTGCAATTTTGAAAATAATATATTCTCCAGCGCTTAATAGCCACTTGAGTGATAATTAAATCAGTTATATTTTATTTCTTTCATTTACTTTATTCAGCACCTTTCGGCTGAAAACCGGGCATATTTAAGCTTTTAAACCCCCTTCTTTTATACCCTCGGCCTTCCACCACCTTTTAACTCAATGTCAATAAAAAAGGAAATTCATTTTTTTATAGTTCAAATAATGATACTTAACCAGAAATAGTACAATAAAAACTTGTAAATCCGGTGCTGCTCTTCCGCCATTTTAGTGAGTGCAAAAGCCACGCCTACCGGTCCCAGTTTTGTATATCAAAAATAATGCATATGACGTATCCTTACGTTGCGTTATCAATGGATCTCACTGATGCAATCGTACATCGTACAGAGAGTTAAAAAATCGTATAAAAACAATTTAAATCCTACGTTTGGCAACACTGAGACAGACAGTAGACGTGGACAGTACTAGACAGTTTGTAAATATAAATGTCAGTTTTATGTATATCGAAGAATCTTGAATTTAAATTTTAAATTTTGAGTTCATTACTGTGTTATCCTCTAGATGAACTAAGCGAAA